AAGGGGGAGGGGAAAGGGGGAGGGGGAGGGGAAAAGGGGGAGGGGAAAAAAGGACAGTACATTAATTGTCCCAATGACTCAAACTGCAACACAGATATGAATATCTATGAAGGAGATGTAATAAACACAAGAGATAATATTATTCAGAAGAAAAATGCTATCCATCATGCCACAGTCTGCTTAAGATAAAGTTTAGGAATTTGAATAGAGTGCTTTTATGGGGAAGTATGTTTTTTTACATTGGTAAAAGAAACTAAAGCTTCTTTACAGAGTAGTATCCACATCAGAGATATGTAACCTTGGTAACTTTAAGACCTCAACTTCCAGAATTCCCCAGCCAACATTGAAGTCCATAAGTCTTAAAGTTGCCAAGATTGGATACCTTAGGTCTACTCTTTCTTACAGCTTTCATCACAACACATCAGATTAGGGGTAAAGGTAAAGGTTCCCCTCCCACATATGTGCTAGTCGTTCCCGACTCTAGGGGGCAGTGCTCATCTCCATTTCAAAGCCAAAGAGCTAACACTGTCCAAATACATCTCCATGATCATGTGGCTAGCATTACTAAATACCGAAGGCGCATGCTTACTTTCCTACCAAAGTAGTTCCTATTTTTCTACTTGCATTTTTACATGTTTTCGAACTGCTAGGTAACTGGTAACTGGAGCTCACTCTGTTATATGGCGCTAGGGATTTGAACCACTGAACTGCCGACTTTTTTGATCGACAACCTTAGCGTCTTAGCCACTGAGCTACCGCATCCCTGTAGGACTTGTTTAATGAGACTGCAATGCTGTTTACATCACTTAGACACACCATGTCCCCCTCCCCACAGTCTCTACCAAATGTAACCTACCAATACGAACAATCTTTAAAATCAAAAGGAAACACAGGCTTATGGTAGCTACGATTCAGTTCCATACCCTTCCCCTGTATTTCAAATTAATCACAAGCAGCACAGGTGAAAAAACTGTCTGTTTAACACCCTGAACTGTTATGTACCAAAGAGGGTGCCAAGCTAATTGATCCACTAAATTGGCTTAATAATGAAGGTGGAACAATGGTTCTCATTATAAAACCCTGTTCGGAAATGCTAAAAATCAGAAACCACCGTTGTATTCAAGTGCCTTTATAAAGTAGCTTCTTCTTTGATGCTTTAAGTTCTTTGTTCCTCTCATTCTCTTCATTTTCTCTTCCTTCCACTTCTATTACCAATTGAAGCCTTCACCACACAGAAGGCAGTCATCATATATGCAGATAAATGCCACTCAAATCCTGCAGGGCAACCAAGAGAGATAAGCAGAAGAAGGGAGAATTCTTGCTGCAAATAATAATTTTCTTCCAACTGCCTCCCATAGCCTCCGACTTCTGCAGCACATAAAAATGGTGTCTTGCCTCAAGGGTATCATGTAACAATTTCTCCCCAAACAACAAGAAGCTGTGCTTCTACAACAGAAAGCTCAATTTAGCTTTCAGCATTTTGACCTATCCAGTTGGATCAAACCTTATTTTTAAATTCTTTTTGGTCAGGCAAATTTAAGCTTCTGGACAATAATTGAGTGTAAGCCAAGGTAAATGAACAGACGGAGACAAAATTACTGGGGTTACTTTTTCCCCTGCCCTGCATATCTCTGTGGCTTTGTATTTCACTGTTGCATTGTGATTGAGAGGCAACAGTTCCGGAGAGATAAACACTTAACATGTAAGTCAAGACACAATCCTGACGTAACCAAGTTTAGCTAGAAATTGTAGGAACCAACCTTTCCAATGCTCTTGGCACCTTATAAAGCTTAGTAATCAGAGGCAGCAAAACTACAATTTCCTGACTCAAGTCAGTGGTTTTCTACTAAATCTTGCTTGTTAGGGAAGGCCAAACTCTGTCAATATGCCTCACCCAGTCTGACATTCAACTGAAGCCAGAGGTGATGAAATCTTCCCTAGGAGTGGCTTAAACTTGTCAAACAGCCACACCAACTTCCCTGGTATTTTGAAAACCCAGTGATCAGAGAGAGCAAAACTATCATCCAAAAGACCAAATCAGGGGCGAATCTTATATTAAGCTGCATGTCCCAGAAAAGCAAGTGGAAAATCAAGAGTGTTTTTCCCCCCAAGAGTTTCTGTGAAGGATGATTTCTGCATTGGTTTAGCGTAAAGTAGACCCTTTGCTGGAGAACATGGTGGCTTCTGTGCTTTCTGCTATCTTTGCTGTTACTGCCTCAAAACAGGTACAAAGAGCATATTTCAAAATGTCAAGGTTACAAAACAAAGTCTGTTCAAATCCTGATATTTTCACAGCATTCTATAAAAAAACACCCACCAGTGCTTTATAGTTTATGATTAACTTTTTTCAAGCAGAAACTCAAGGCAGCTGAAATCAAGGAAGTTCACTAACAAACCACAAACCTGAATCACACACCATCTTGGAATCACCCTCAAAATTAAACCAGAGCTGATTCGCAGGGGTCTAAACATACTTTTTGCAGATATTGATCTTATTTTCATTTATTTAACCAATTTATACAACTGCCCATCTCACTAGCAAGCAATTCTGGGCAACGTACAACAGAGCTAGAAACAAGTTAATAAATATATTAAAAAGTATAAAAACCAAATTAAAACAAAGAATAATAGATGAAGGAATAGTAAAAAGTATTTTATCATCAGTTTCAAGCCAATTGAGTGTCATCAGCATACGGATGATACTTCACCGCATGGCAATGGATGAGCTCATCCAGGGGACTCATGTAGATCTTAAATCGGAGAGGGGAGAGCATTGATTGCTCTGGCATCCCCCATAGCAGGGACAGAGGGCAGAATCTCTCTTCTGCAATCACCATTGACTGGAACCAACCCTGCAGAAAAGAGGTGAACCTGCACAATACCATGCCACCTACCCTCAATTTCTGAGTCGGTTCAGAAGGCTACCATAGTTGATGTTATTGAAAGCAACCAGGATGGACACAAAGCCACCATCCTGCCCATGCCACCATCATCCAAAAGCACAACCAATGCCAATTCCATACCGTATCCAGGTCTAAATTCTGACTGGGGAAAAAATTGCAGATAATTCATCCAAGTCCTCTGAAGTTGCTGCATACCCATTCTCTTAATCGCCTTCCTCAAAAAGGAGAGGATGGATACTGGATGAAAGTTTGTCCAGTGTCATGGGGTCCAGTGATGGCTTCTTAAGGAGAGGGTGATCCAAAACCTTCTTAAGATAGCAATAGCAATAGCAATAGCAATAGCAGTAGACTTATATACCGCTTCATAGGGCTTTCAGCCCTCTCTAAGCGGTTTACAGAGTCAGCATATTGCCCCCAACAACAACAATCCGGGTCCTCATTTTACCCACCTCGGAAGGATGGAAGGCTGAGTCAACCCTGAGCCGGTGAGATTTGAACCACTGAACTGCTGATCTAGCAGTCAGCTGAAGTGGCCTGCAGTACTGCACTCTACCCACTGCGCCACCTCGGCTCTTGATGCAAAGGAACAATTTTTCCCTACTGAAAGAAGAATTTACCACCGCTAGAACCCACCCACACTACGCGTTCTGAGCCACTTTCACAAGCCAAGAAGGGAATGGTAGCAAAAGAATGCCCTTAATTTTTACCAACCCTGATTTTGATATACAATTGAAAGTTTGCAAAGATATATTTTCTCTAAAAAAGGAGCATATGTCTTTTCAGATGTTAAATAATTATCATTATTTCTAGTCAGCAATAATGAGAGTAGTTGTTATAATATAACAATGTATGTCGATTATAAACAGGGGTGGGCTGCTAAGGGGACCCCCGGGTTTGGGAGAACCCGTAGCTAACATTATGGCCAGTTCAGAAAACCTTCAAATCCCACCCCTGGCTGGCCCTGCCCACCCCATCCCATCCTGTCCTGTTCCTCCCACACCACCCCTCCCCTCCCAGGAGTTTCCACACGGCAAGGATGCAAGATAAATGCAGGGCTCACTCAGGGAGGGGAAAAAACTGGCTTACCGGAAGCTCCAGAAGTCCAGAGCCTGGAGAAGGCAGTTTTTGCCCTCCTGGAGGCTTGAGGAAAGCCTCCAGAGCCTGGAGAGGTGAAAACGAAATCCACTAGGCCACGCCCACCATGACCATGCCCACCCAGCAATCCGGCAGAGAACCCATTGCTGAAATTTTTGAAGCCCACCCCTGATTATAAATTGAAACAGTTAAAGCCAAAACACTAAGTCTACCAGAATTACACAATACTATATTAAATGGATGGACTCATTGTACTTCATATATTATAGCACTTTGAGAAAAAAGGCCATTCTAAAGGAACAAGAAACAAAGATTCTGTTTACCTTAGTAATTACCTACCATGTCATACTCCATTTCCGTCATTTCTGCAAACTGATCCTTGTGAAATACTACAAGCCGAGTGCGTCCAGTTATTGGTGCCTCCTCCAAATGCGTAAAATAAAAAAGAATAAATACAACTCCCAAGCTAGAAATTCCAAGAATTATCTTCCATCTATTTCTTCTCAAAGCTTCTTTAAATAACGCCTTCTTGTTTGGAGGAAGTGCATGCCACCATTTTCTTATACTCCTAGAAGACACAAATATTATAATTTTCAAACAACTGCCCCTAGATTGCTAAAATATATAATCTTGGATATAGATTTTATCCAGATGAGAGGTTCACAACTAACTTGCCTGTTACGAAGTCAAAAACAAATAAAGTGCAATTGTTTCTCACTATAGCACAATAAATCAATATCCTGCCAATTCCACCTTGCAAAGCAAGATTTACAAATTGGTAGTCACTGAGTCTCTATAAAAGAATGAATATTTATTTTATCATACTTTAAATTACTTATCTATAATATGAAGAAACATGTTCTTAGGTAAATTTGCCCTAGTAAAATAAGTGTTTATTTTATACTTAACTATGGTTTAAACATACCAAACAAAATAAACAATTTAAGATTTGCACTGGCCCTTGAGACAATTAAACAAACCACACTATAGTTTAATTCAAAATGTAACCCCAGAGTCTGCAACATATACAAATTATTAGAAGTAGAATAATAATCTATATTTAAACCACAAACTGGTTGGAATTTTAAATATTTAGGACGTATGTTTAGTATTTCTATGTATTTTTCTCCAAACTAACAAATAATACACCATATTCAGTGCATGAGAACTTAACAGAGGGAAGCTCCTATAAACCCAAGTAAAGAAACTGGCTGGAACTTCTAGCAATCCAAGTGGGATTCTACAGAACAAACTGGGAACTAATTTCATATCTCAAATTCTTAGCAATAAAGATGATACGTGTGACTGATGCAGACTCAACAACTGACTGATCCAAGCAGCAGTGAGCTGTTTTCTTCTGCTTTTCACCCAAGACTAAAATGCTACCATATGATGAGCTATCTCAGTAACTTTAAAAGAGCTACAAGAAACTCAAGATTATTTTCTTGCATACCATGGGCTTTTATCACAACTGCTCCTTTGTAAACACGCCAAACTTTACAACCAATTATTCCTACTTTTTTTCTCTTTGACCAGGACAATGTTGATTGGTTACCTCCCAAGGATGATAGCAAAAAGCTTTTGCACTGGCTTCAAGATCATCAGTAAGAGTGCAGCTGGAGCAGCTTTCAGTATTGATGATCTGTGAAAGCATCTGAAGATCTGGATATTCTGAGTAGCAACGTCTTGTAATTTTTGAGACATGATAGCTCCAAATAGTACACATTTTCTCCTTGCCTTTTGCTGAGTGAGTATACAAGGCCTTCTAAAATAGCTGCATCTGGTTGTATATATTCCTACATCTTTAGGATCCAGAGGCAATCGATGGGTTCTATTCATGTTTCCATAGATTCTGGAATTGTCATTCCAGAAATAAAATCTAATGCTGTTCTTTTTATTCCATGCTTGACACTTTGTCAGTTGATGTTGGGCTCCATTTAAAGCTTTACTGGAAAATGTGTAAGGATTAATGCACTTTCTCCAATTAATTGAAGATGCCAACTGATTTAAAATACAATTTCTTGAGCCACCAAAGGAAGCCATCTCTCTGTCGCTGAGTTTTGATATCTAAATGAAGACAATCAAAATGTAATGTTACAAAAGAAAGAATGAATTTGTAAGCATGTAATACAAAGAGGGAAAACAAATCAATTAATTAATATATGGCTGATTCTGACTGCTACATGATAAAACTGCCTGGTCTTGGACAATCATTCCAGGATTCATAAATTTTGTTTCTAAAGACAGGAACAAAAATTCCACTAGTTAATTTTTAACTAGTTTCCAAAGAATAGTTAGCAGTTTACAAGCCAAATCTACACTCTTTATAAGTCAACATTAAACCAGAATTCTACCATTTGGGCACATAACTTAATACAAGTCTTAATACAAATCAGTCTCTTGCTGAGATAGGCATCCATTCAAATTAAACAAACAAATAAATAAAACACTAACATGGTCTCAAACAAGAAGTATGAAAAGAGAAGGGCCAGACCCAGGGTTCATTCTGAGGAACCAGCATGTAAACATGGACAATATGCTTCATAGGATTTTTAATTCATAAAGGTTGCTCTAGGATACATCATATTAGGTATATTTGCAGTCCAACATGATCTAGAGACCAAGAAAAAGCCAAGAAGGCCAAACAAGGAAACTCCTGATGTTGAATCACCAGCTTGTCTGAGTTAACTTTTCATAACTTTCAACACAGCCATGACTAGAATCCTGCTTGTGTGGCAAAACCACTCCTTGTTATTCATCACATACACAGAAAGCAAATTTTCACAGCACGCAACAACTAAAGGAGAAAGGAGGACTGCATCCCTGCCCTTCCTGGGGATGCAATAGTATGACATAATTAGATTCCAACCTTTGTAATTTTAGATTTTGTTCTATTATTTTAGTACAGTGTTTCACAACTGCTAATCCCTTTAAACACAATTAAAAATGACAATAGTTAATAAATAAAGCAGAACTTTGGAAACAGGAAGCAAGACTGAAGAAGTAGTGAAAGAGAAAATAGAGCAGAGTTTAAGGGAAGGAGAAAGTGGATGACAGCAAATAGACAAACAAGTTACAGGAGACAGGAAGAAAATAAAAGACTAGGGATTCCAAGCAGGCTTAATTTCATACCTTTTAGGGATTTATATTTTGTGCTAAGCCTGAAGTCATATTGGTTGCTACTATAGTAAGTTTCTGCATAATAGATGGCTTAACAAATCATGGATAATGAAATTCTGGCTTAATATAATAACCAACTGAATTGGTCAGAGGAGCCTTAAACTCGTTGCTACGCAAGTTACAATTTCTCTACTCCAACATTCATTCACCACCCACCGGAATGAGATATTTTACTATCTCATGAAACACAACTGTATATATAATGGGATGTAAGATTCCGTGAAGCCCTTACAATGCCCTGTTATATAGATCATTAAAGTGTAGCAAGGCTGCCTATAATTCAAGGAATACTCCCCTCATTAAAAGAAAGGAGGCAATATTCAAAATGCACTTTAGCTAAGGGAAATGCTGAGAAACATGGGGAAATACAGATAGCCTGTGAAAGTGTCAAAAGATGATGGGGAGGGTTAGCAGAGCGAGCAAAACGATAATCAGGCATTGTCCAAAGTTTCTTTTTTCCAATGTGGAAAGTATCTATGTGAGGCAAAAACCAGATAGTACATTTATCTAGACTCCATACCAATATAGTAAGTCACCCATTAAACCAATTGAGAACTAAAAACAAGTACTATCGTATTTCCATTTCCTTTCTCAACATTAAACACAGAAACATGTATTTTAGACTGCAAGGTGCCAGTACTTAAAACAGGTAGAACCTATGATTAAAGGAATCACCCTACTGAACTTGCACATCTGCATTTTGAGATTCCAAACCCAGTGTGGGGAACAAACACCCACATAATCTCCAGCACAGATTATGCAACCAAAGGGCCAAATCATGCACCTCCAAACTGTAAAGGGGGAATACCATGTATGCTTGCCCTTCTGGTTCTTCAACTTTCTTGTAACGTCTATGAAAAAAATAATCCCCAGTCTGTTTCTACGTCAGACAGAACTAATGTTACCAATTAGAATAGAATAGAATATTCTAATTACCAATAGAAGAGAATATTCATAGTTCAGGATTGATTTGTGGAATCCTTGGTACTCTTGAGCTTTTTCTTGTAAACATTTCATTATCCACCTAGGTCACATCATCAGTGCAATACTGATGTTACCTAGTTGGGTAATGAAACATCTGGCTTTGCCAACTGGCCTGGGCCCCCAATGGGAGGTGGTCTTACTGGAGATGGCTAAGCAGGTAAGAAGACCTCCTCCCCATCCTCTCCTGGTTGTTAGCTCTCTTAGTTCGATTTTACTATAGCTCTTAATATTATTTCATCTTTTAACTACTTACTTGTTTTATAAGCTGTAAAGCCACCCAGAATCACCTTGTAAGGGAGATGGGCAGCATAAAAAATTAATAAATAAGATAAATGCCACCAAGCTCAGAGAGCACCAAGGACTCTACAGAACTACATTCTCTGCTATTAATTTAATGTCCCTGTCCTACTTTCTCCATTTATTCGTACCCATTTACTGTGTTCATACTTACCTTTATACCTGTTATCTTTTACATGTTTGACAAACTAAATAAATAAATAAATATTACAAATAATAATGGTAGCAATAACACATTTTGGAATCTGGTCTAATATGTTAGCTAGCCTTGATTCATATTTCCCTCCAGGGATGCTTACTATGCCACCCACCATCCCAAACAGGGACTGCTGGGAATGACGGGACTTAGCCAACAGAAGCTAAGGAGAGACTCACTTGGAGAAAAGCTGCTTTATGGGACGTAGAGACGCAAAGTGGAGAGAGAAAGAGAGAGAGAGAGAGAGAGGAGTCGGGTAGCGCTGGCGCCCGTGGAGACTCGGCACCTACCACCAACGTGGGAATGATGGACCCATCCGGCCCGGGGAAACGGCTGAGACCAGGCGCCAGAGGCGGCAGAGGAGGAGGGGCCCAAAGTTTTGCAGCTCGTCTTTCAAGTTCTGCTTTCCCCGAAACCAAGAGGACTTAGCCGCGGGCGAAGGGTCTTAAAGGGGACGCGGGAAGAAAGGGGATTGCGATCACGGGGGCGAGTCTCTTTACAACCCATTTGACCCACTACCCAAAAAAGAGGCGGTTTCCTCGGAGCCTTAAAGCCGCACCCTCCGTCCGTCCGTCCCGTTCAAGGGCTTTGGCTGCGCTCAAGGCCGAAGCCGGCCCCTCAATTCGGTTCCCTTCCGGGATGGAGGGCGGAGCGTCGCAGGGAAAGCCTCTCGACTCGCGCGCTGGTGGCTAAGGGCACGCAGGAGGGACCGGCAGCAAAGCTTACTTTGGCATGCCAGGGCTTGGTCACTGCACCTCATTGCTTAGTTTATTGCCAGGACAGGGCTGCCTGGCCCTGGAAATGTCCTTCATTACCCGACCTGCCTTGCCGTTGCAGCAACATTTTTATTTTATTCCAGCTTCACAAATGCTGGGTCCTTTTCTTTTTTAATATTTTTATTATACAGTTTTCTTCATTTTACATCACAATTTCATCTTTACAACAACTCTATACCAGTTTATATCCACAGTTTTTTTTACATTTATATATACTATTATGTATAGATAATATAGTGATGAAAGAAATGTCCTTCTGGGTTTGGCTCCAAGTGGGGAAAAAGACACTGGAGACATGGAGGCTGCTTGGAAAGATGGTTTATTGCTGGACAGGGCCAGTAGCTTGAGCCCTGAACAGAAAAGGTGATCACATGCTTCAAGGTTGGTGGAGAAGAAGTGAAGGGCTGAGAGAGGGGCTTTAAAAAAAAAGAGCTTTCTAGGCTTTTTATAACTTGTTCAGTCCCACCTCTCTGTTTCCTGTTCCTGTGTAAGAAATGTATTCTGATTGGTTGTCAGACTCCTATAGGGCCATGCAGGGGCAACTCTCTGGGCTGTGTTTTGAATCCAGGTTTAGTTGAGTTCTCAGATGCCATGTCAGTTGAGTAAAGGGCATTATCATGCTTTAATCCCATCCCCCCTGGGGCTGCAGTGGAGAAGTCTTTATTACGTAAAGTGGACTAGCTTGGCCTTCTTAGTGGCCCATAGAAAAAGTGAGTATGGG